GCAGAGAAGACGCTTCCGTTTGGTGTAGACCACTTCCTGTCCCGTTTTACTTCTTACTGCTTGCACTCTGCAGGCTCCCTAGAGAGATCTGTTTGTGTGGGGACGGTGGGCGGCCTGTGGACTTTGGGTTCAGGGTGTGATTGATGACACAAAGATGAGCGGTACAGAGTTCACCGTCTACCACCATCTTGGTTACTACACATTCCATCAATAACCTGTTAGATATTCAGCCACTTCTTCATTTGATCTGGCATGAATTCAGTATTTACATATGTTTTCGTACTTTTGAGTTGTTCTCATTTAGATGCTTTGCTTAATTATGATCATTAATCATGAATTGATCATTTAATCAATGAACCGCTGTCCGTCTCTCCTCCTCTCAGGGGTACCAGGGCATGGTGGACGGCGGAGACAACATCAAGGAGGCCACGTGGGAAAGCGTCTCCAGCATGCTGCAAGTGGTGAGCTCTACAGGACCTGTTGACGTCCTGACTGTCTTTGTGATTGACGCGCTCTAGTCCCCGCCCACTTGTGTTGGACACAACTCAGCAACGAGAGACCAATGAGCTTGTGACTAAAAAGTCCCCCCCCGCCCCCCAGGGCGGCACGGTCATCGGCAGCGCCCGCTGCAAAGAGTTCCGCGTCCGCGAGGGCCGCCTGAGGGCCGCGCGCAACCTGGTGCAGCGCGGCATCAACAACCTGTGCGTGATCGGCGGCGACGGCAGCCTGACCGGCGCCAACCTCTTCCGGGAGGAGTGGAGCGGCCTGCTGGACGAGCTCCTCGGACAAGGTGAGCCGGGCTGGGTCGACCCCCGCGCCCGAAGCGTGCCCGAAGTGCGTCCAAAGCGCGCCACCAGGTGACATCAGGGGAATGAAACCCCTCCCTCCTCGCTGTCTTCCAGGCCTCATCGATGAGGAGGCGGCCCGAAGCAACTCGGAGCTCCACATCGTCGGCATGGTCGGCTCCATCGACAACGACTTCTGCGGCACCGACATGACCATCGGCACCGACTCGGCCCTGCACCGGATCATCGAGGTGGTGGACGCCATCATGACCACCGCACAGAGGTGAGCGAAACGAGCGCCGCCCTCGCCAACACTGGAGTGTCCACTCCACGCGGCCGACTCGTTGCTCTTCTCTGTGTTTCTAACGCTCGGCCTCCTTCCAGCCACCAAAGGACCTTCGTGCTGGAGGTCATGGGCCGACACTGCGGGTAGGCTCACCGAGACGGGGACACACCCCATCGGAACACGCACAGACGTGTACAAGACGTGTGCGAGAACACGCAAGTTAAACTCTGTATCAGAGTCAGTCTGGTCCATTCTGAGCGTCAAATTCAACCAAACCCTCATTTTATTCAGCACACTTTCTACTTTAATAAGTGACATGAGATTTTTCAACGCAATGATTGGAACGCGTGTGTGTGTGTGCGTGTGTGCATGTGTGTGCGTGTGCAGATACCTGGCCATGGTCAGTGCCCTGGCTTGTGGAGCAGACTGGGTCTTTATCCCAGAGATGCCTCCTGGGGACGGCTGGGAGGACGTCATGTGTCAGAAGCTGTCCGAGGTAACAACACGTTAATATATGTATGTTACATGTGTGTGCAATATGTACAAGTGATATATAACACGGATTCTGATGACCTCGACGACCTTTTAGGCCCAAATGGTTTGTGATTTTTTTTTTTGTTTACGGCCATTTGATGCAGAGATGAGATGAGACGCGCTTAAGAATATGAAAATTCCTCCTAGTTCAGTAGTTTTCTTCTGTTCTCCAGCCTAATTAATACCTCTGTGTGGTTTATTAGGCCTCCTGTTAAGACGCCGCAAGGCTTCCTCTCATGTACTCAGATGCTTTCACTCCTTCGTCCCTCTAGAACCGCGCCGATAAGAAAAGGCTCAACATTATTATCGTAGCTGAGGGAGCCATCGATTCCCACAACAAGGCCATAACTCCCGATTACATCAAGGAAGTAAGTACGGACGCCGACCCGCAGACCCTGCAGTTGTATTTTACATTCATGGTACCTCTTTTGTTTAATCACACTGAAATGTGATATTCATATATTCCTTATCCCCCTCCCGCCCAGCTGGTGGTACGCTGCCTGGGCTTTGACACCCGGGTCACCATCCTGGGCCACGTGCAGCGAGGCGGGACCCCCTCCGCCTTCGACCGGATCCTGGTGCGTCCCGATCTATTTCCTCTCTCACGTGACGTGAAACGCGGTTGTTTACACTGCAAACATCCCGCCGCCCAGCGCTGACCTTCCAGGTGACCTTTGACCCCTTGCAGGCCAGCCGCATGGGCGTGGAGGCGGTGCTGGCGTTGCTGGAGGCCTCCGCCACCACGCCGGCCTGCGTTGTGTCGCTGGTGGGTAACCAGGCGGTCCGGCTTCCACTGATGGAGTGTGTTCAGATGGTGAGTGTGTGTGTGTGTGTGTGTGTGTGTGTGTGTGGTTCTCAGCAGCTGACGGCGCGTGTGATGAAGCAGCTCTTGTGTGTGTTGTCATCAGACCCAGGAGGTGCAGAAGGCCATGGACGAGAAGAAGTTTGAAGAGGCAGTGAGACTGCGTGGAAGGTATTGATTTACTTTTGGAGGGATTAAATGTCGGATCGACTCTCGTGAAGAAGATGAAGGTCGCTTCCTCCACGCGTCCCACCTGAGGAAGAAGGAGTATTGTCATGTGACCCGGAGTGCTTCCTCAACAGGAACGGAACTCACGTCCGTTGGTGTCTAACCCTTTTCGTTTTCCCCCGTGTGTGATCTGCAGTAGCTTTGAAAACAATCTGACCACCTACCGCCTGCTCTCCTACCGCAAAGCAGACTCCGAGCTCCCGAACGTAAGTGCTACACGAATGAATAATAAAATCCTATTACAATAAACATTGATCATTGCAACCGCCGGGTTCTGACCAGTGTAACTCTTCCAATGTGTCTCCCCACCAGCGGCTCAGAGACTTGTAGCTTAAAGGTACTTCCTGGTCAGGTGCCTTGTGGGCGCCGCGCTCTTTTTGTGACACTAACCGTCTGTTTTTCTGTGGCCGTCTGAGTGGGGGGGGGGGCTCCTTATTCCAATTCCTCAATGCTGAGATAGAGATATCTGGGCTTTTTGCATGGTATCTTGTCTTAGGACGCCGCTCCGTCCGTCTTTTGCTTGTTCCTCCTCGGCTCCGCTTTCGAAGAAGAAGCAGTTGCAGATGTGCACAGATGTTGCAACACTAGGGGACGGGCTTCACATGAGCCTGAAGTAGCCCTCGTTTCAGCATCTTGTTCCTAACTTTCATTCCGAATGCACAGGCTCCGCCCTCTCTCAGAAACAGCGGATGCAGAGATTAAAAGTCCCTGGACTTTTCTCACTGGAATCAAACTGTCTGGGCTCCGGGTTTAGTTGTGAACGCGGACAGTGATATTTTTAAAATGTAGAATTATATTTAAATACTTGAGGAACAAAGGCTTCGAAGCTGTGAAGAATAGCACTCTTCTTTACGAGGTTTTCAATTAATCCTTGATTAGAAGAAGAAGACGGGCTTGACCTCTCAGGACGTTGGTGCTCAATGCCTTTTTGTGTGATCTAGAACAGGACGGGATTGAATATTTAATGAACAGATAATGACTTCGCTCCTAGTTGTGCGTTGAGAAGCAGCTGAGACTTGGACGCCTGTCCATTCTGAGGTTCTACCTGCTAAACCATCTCCTCAATTGACTCTTTGCTAAGCCCCGCCCCCCCACCCCCCCGCTGCTACGTTACCATGGAGCCCACGCTGTCACTAACTGCACTCCCTCAGGTGTGATACATTTCAGACATATTGTGGAAAGGAGCCTTAAGAGATGGACCTTTAGCCTCTATGGAACCAGCCTGTTGAGTCAGATAGGAACTGCCTGAAGCTTCTCTCTGATTGGCCAGTCTGACCTCGAGGGGCGGGGATTGGTAAAGGGTTAATTAGGCCTAATCTGTCATTCATTGGCAGCACACTGAATAGCAATGTGGACTGTGTGTACGAGGCTTCACCCGAAATACTCACCTCGTGCCCTTTGACCCCGGGGGTTGAAAGTGGCTGTGCCCTTGAAACAATGACTCCGCTTTGAATGGCGAGAAAACCCCCAGATAGTCGCCGAAAGTTTGCATTGACCGCCGATCCTCTCCAGAAGTAAGCAGCCGCTGCCGCTTGGCTGCGCCTCTTGAGCGGCATGTGGCTTCTTGCATGCCAGGTAGTCCTCCGCCCCGGCTGCCACTCGACGCCGCGAATGGTTTTCGTCAGAAGCAGAAAGAGCCCCCCCTGCGGTGACGGATCAGCCTACTTCCTGTCTGCTTGTCCGCGTAGCCTCTAACTACCGCGGTGGGAATTCCCACCGCCTTCATCTGTGATCTGTGAGACGACGTTTTTAAAACGTGACCGACCTCTCCCCCCCTCCCCCACCCCGCGGCCGACAGAGCTCCTTCAACGTTGCAGTGCTGAACGTCGGCGCCCCGGCGGCGGGAATGAACGCCGCCGTGCGCGCTGCCGTCAGGGTGGGAATCACCGAAGGCCACAAGATGTTCGCTGTCAGCGACGGCTTCGAGGGCTTCTACAAGGGACAGGTACGCGGGAGGGGGGGGAGGACACTGAGGGTATCAACACTTGAGTGGTCCGAAATAAATGAATTTATTTAACTAAGAACAGTCTTTGGTAATTTTACATAATTTAGCAGTGTGAGGAAGGATATCTAATACGTATATATTGTTTTAGCATTGCTGGAACTTAGATGTGAAGATTTATCAGAGATGATTGACAGTGTGAATAATAATGACCTGCTCCTTTAAATCAGATTAAGGAGATCAAGTGGGGAGACGTCGGGGGCTGGACCGGCCAAGGCGGCTCCCTGCTGGGGACCAAGCGGTGAGTCAGTGAACTATGATTACACATAATTCTTGATTCTCTACTTCGTGTAGGGCAACTACAAAAGTCAGTGTAACTGAAGCCTAAACCAAACTAAACTAAAAACGAATAATATTAAAACGGTTTCTCGTAGTTACTCTAAAATGAAACCAACATCGTTTCCTTTTGATATGCTAGAACTCTTCCGGGCAAACATCTGGAGGAGATTGCTGAGCAGATTAGGATCCACAACATCAACGCTCTGATGGTCATCGGAGGGTTTGAGGTGCGTTTTATTTTGATGATAAAAAATAATTTTCAAATCATAATTTCTGACAGTTTAATATCCAGTATGGCTCCTAATTCTATGAAAGTATTCATTCTTATTGTTAAGATATTGTCTTTTTAAATGCATCACGTGTTGTTTAACGTTGCTGATTTCATTCATTTGAACTTGTTAAACTATTACAACATCTCGTTCTGCATCGGCACATTTCCACATTACAAGCGAGACATTTAAACGAGCTCCCACCTTGTCTGTCCATATATGGTCATTGCTTCATGGCCAAGCTGCAAAGCCGTGACCTCATCATTTAGAATAAGGTGCTAAACTGTGACACCAATAAATGATCATAAAGAAGTGGGCAGCTTGGTCATGAAGTGGACGCTGTCTCCCTCCCTGTCTGTGACTGTGGAGCTATGAACGTCCTCTGTGTGTCTCATTGTCCTGTTCGGCCTGGCTCTCTCCCCTTGGCTCCTCCCCCTGCCATCACACTCCTCCCTCTCGCTGACCCCTCCCACTGCCTGACTCCTCCCAGCATCGCCTCGCTAGTCCCAGACCGCTTTCCCTGTCCTGCCTGTCTCTCATCCTCCTGCTATTTTTTTACCCTTGAGGTCCACCTCCCAGCAACAGGCCCCTCCCACCTCCCAGCAACAGGCCCCGCCCACCTCTAAGCTTTCCTTTCCAGAACAGACCCAACAGTTTACTTCTTCCCCAAAGTGACCCTCAACATTTCAATGTGTTCATACTGAAAAGGATAAACCGAATATCGAAGTCGCTACGCTAAGTTAGCTTCACCCCCCCACCTTCATCTCCGTGTTGGTTCCCCACCCTCCCCCCACCCACCAAATGAGGTGCTGGCTCTCACCGCTGCAGGCCTACGTGGGACTGCTGGAGCTCGCCGCGGCGCGGGACCGGTATGACGAGCTGTGTGTGCCCATGGTTATGGTCCCCGCCACCGTCTCCAACAACATCCCCGGGTCAGACCTCAGCATTGGCTCAGACACGGCTCTGAACGCCATTACTGACGTAAGTGAGGCGGGTGTGGAGACCCCCTCCCCCCTGCCCCCCGGGGACCCCTCCCCCCTACCAGCAGGTGACAGACGGAGGTTCCCTGAAGGTCATCGCCACGAGGTGTCAGCGTGTTTTCTCTGCAGAATCTCTGCTTTCACGTAAACAGAAGGGTAATGGTGGTTTGTTGAACTTCTATTTAGTTTAACGTGGAATCAGGATCGTTCTTTAGTGAGTCGGCATCGAGCTTCACCTATTAAAACGATACACATTTGAATTCCTGCAGCAACTTAAATATCCGTCATCTTGCGGCTCCATTCTCCTCTTGCAGGGGTCATTTCTACATGCCGGCATCCACGTTGACGTAGCACACATGTTTGTTGTTAGACCTCAAACGAGGTCGGTTCATCCCTCCATCAGCAGAAAGTCACTCACACACAAAGCTGATGAGCCGGGCTGCTTCAGTGGACCTCCTGTTGTTGTTGTTGTTGTTGTTGTTGGAAGTCAGCTGGTCAGCGGAGGTCCCAGGTAAGTGCTCGGCATGACATCACGTGTGTTGTGGCATGTGTTCGCCTTTATGCGCCTCAGCCCAGCAGGTCTGATATTACAGTGTATTATTTTAACACCAGGCCCCGCCCCCTCTTTGCATTCTTGTGCATAGAAGGAAGCATTGCCCCCCCGTTTCCCCTCCGGCCACCTCGACCCCCCACCCCCCCGGCATCAGGCAGGATGCCTTAATCTTTACACGTCAACACCGCGCCGTGTCAGCCTGGGTGACCCCCCCCCCTCACCACCACCACCTTACCTCACGTCCTCTCAGCCAATGAGAAGCCAAAGCCCCCGTCACCTGGAGAGAGCCGGCCTGCAGCGCGGAGACACCTACACACACATGCACACACACACACACACACACACATATGAACACGCACAAAAACACACGTGCACGTTGCAGATCTTCATGGTGTGTTTACTTCAAAGGACTTCCTTTACTTGAGTCCTTTAACATCGGCCGAGAGGGTCAGCAATGTCCAGTTGAACTGTTGTCTATTTGAACAAACATCAGCTGTGGTTCACACACACACACACACACACACACTGTTGTGTAAATACAAGATGATCTACATGTTCGTCTACCAGAATCATCTTCAGTTAGAAACCAGCCGAGGACTCAAGCAAAGGGAGTCGCTGTGCACCATGAAGCAGACTGTGAGAGGTCACACAGAGGTCACACCTCAGACATGCAGTCTGATGATCTGATATCACGGCCCCCCCCCCCCCTCGCCACCACCACCAGGCCTTTGAGTCCCTGCTGCAGCTGTACGAGGGCCGGGCCGACTACCAGGACTTTTGCATCCCGATGTGCATGCTGCCTGCCACCATTAGTAACAACGTGTGCGGCACCGACCTCAGCATCGGCGCCGACACGGCCCTCAACGCCATCGTGGAGGTAAGGGGTCAGGGGTCACGGGGTCCGAGGGACACGGTCAGAGGTCTTAGAAGCCGCAGCGAGAGTGCACTCAGACGTGTTTATGGAAGGTCAAAGGACGACCTGCGAGTAAAGAGAACGTATGAGACTCTTCTTGAAGGCTGAAGGTAACCGCGCGTTTTTGGTCCATAAGTTCAGATTTACTTCCATAACCAAAAAGCCCAAAGTAATTTAGTTCAAAAAGAAAAGAAATCTAGAAATCCCCACAACTTCTCAGATGTGGGTATTTCTAGATTTTTCTAGAATCAAATATGAAATGATTCCTATGGATACGTCGGTGATTTTTATCGTCTGGTGAACAACAGACGTGCGATCGCATCAAGCAGTCGGCCAGCGGCACCAAGCGCCGGGTCTTCATCATCGAGACCATGGGGGGCTACTGCGGCTACCTGGCCACCGTGGGGGGGCTGGCCGCCGGCGCCGACACCGTCTACATCTACGAGGAGCCGTTCGACATCCGGGACCTGCAGGTCTGTTTTTATTTATTATGTTTTATGTGCCACTTTTTACAAGAATATTAACGGTCAAGTGGCAACAGAAGATATAAATATATATTCTTTTAATTGAATTTGTGGTCAAAATGGTTGAGCTGAGTTCATATGTGTGGAAATACGATTTTAAAGCAGTTGTCCCATTTCGTCAGTCTTATGCTAAAAATTCTCTCCCAATGACATTCAAAAACGCCATGAAGGTCTACAGCAGGGTGGAAAGTGTAGTGCTGGTGCCCCCTGGTGGTGGGAACGCCCCCCTGCACCTCCTCCGTGTGGTGGTGGGGGGGGCGCTGCTCTGACGCCACACTGTGTGTTCTCAGGCCAACGTGGAGCATCTGACGCAGAAGATGAAGACGAGCATCCAGAGAGGCTTGGTGCTCAGGTGAGCTTCTCTTTTCCTTTCATCTGCCCTGTTCTCCCCCCGTGGAGGGGGGGGGGGGGGTCCACGCCTCGTCCGCGTCCTCGACTCAAGGGGGGAACTCAGGCTCAGGGAGGATTTAGAAGAAAAAACAAAGACTTGTGCACGTCTATTTTTCAACGTTCAATACCTGCGTCTGTCTGCTAAGTGTCTCTGCTAAGTGTCTCTGCTAAATGTCTCTGCTAAATGTCTCTGCTTCTCCTCTGTGATTCGCTGAGGTTATTTTAAGTCCTCAGACGGAAAGTAGGACGAGGGTCGTACCGGGGACAGTGTGTAGGGGACATTGGACAGCGCGTAGGGGACATTGGACAATGTGCGGTTGCAGCTGCAGACTTTTGTTGAGATGGGATGAGCAGAGTGGTGCAAGGCAGGAGGCTCAAGGGCACCTCAGCAGTGTGGGGGGGGCTCAGGGGGACAAACGGCTTGTAGGACGCTAGTTTTTCGGGCTGCCTAAAAATGGACACAAAATACGTACAATCCACTTCAAGCTTCTCGTGGGAACTTGTGGCAGAAAGATTCATTCAAAGCAAAGCGTTTACGGCGCCGCTTTTAACCGAGACGTTTGACTCGTGTCTCCAGGAACGAGAACTCCAACGAGAACTTCACCACGGACTTCATCTACCAGCTGTACACCGAGGAGGGGCGAGGGGTCTTCGACTGTAGGAAGAACATCCTCGGCCACATGCAGCAGGTCTCATCGCTGTGATCATTTCTTAGTAAAAATCGCTCTTCACAGCCGCCTTCCTTTTTAAATAGAAGTGTGTGTCCATGCAGGGAGGGGCTCCTTCTCCATTCGACCGAAACTTTGGCACCAAAGTTGCCGCCAAAGCCATCCAGTGGGTCACGAAGACGCTCAAGGAGTCCTACAAAGGAGGTAAGGAGGCGCTGCGTTGCGGGCGGGTGGGCTGCAGCGTGCGGGTGGTGTTAAAAGGCGGCTGGTGCTCTTCCTCGCAGGGCGGGTGTTCACGAACTCGGAGGACACGGCCTGCCTGCTGGGGATGCGGCGCAGGGCTCTGGTCTTCCAGCCCGTGTCGAAGCTCCGGGACGAGACCGACTTCGTGTGAGTCTCACGTCGGGTTTTTTTTTTTTTTCATAAGAAAAACCAGATAAGAGAAGCGACGGCACCATCCTGCGTTTCTGTCTCCTCAGCCACCGGATCCCTAAGGAGCAGTGGTGGCTGAAGCTCCGCCCACTGATGAAGATCCTGGCCAAGTACAAGACCAGCTACGACGTGTCCGACTCCGGCCAGCTGGAACACGTGACCCGCGTGCGGGCCAGAGAGAGCGACACCATCTGAGGGGGGGGGGGGTTGCCCCCCCCGCCAACGGTCGCTGAAAGATTCAAGAAAGAAAAAAAAAAAGCTGTAATGTGCTGTAAAGTCGTGGTGCTTTCAGAAGGCATCCTCTATTTTTTAGGTGATGACGCAGAAGAGTTGATTTGATTTTGATCGTTTGAGGGGCCTTCAGAATAAGAGCTCTTCAAAAGGTATTCTCTCCAGATCAGTTATTATACACTCAAATATTTATATATGTAAAAGCACTCCTTATGTACTGAATAGGTATTAAAGTTATGTACCTGAAACTGTAGCTGTAGAGTTGACCTTTAACCTCCCGGTGTGTCGAACCCCTCCAGGCTCAGCCGGGTGACGTCCTATTTTATTATTTCCTTCAGCACCTTGAGTTCCTTTCAATCAACTCGCCCCCTGGAGCTGCTTTTAAAGAGATAATATTAATACTTGCACACGTGTGCACACACACACGTACACACAACGCTGGTCCACGCCTTGAAAGATGATTGTAAAATGGAAATGGCGAGCTGGGCTAGTCGTGTCTGTGTGTGTGTGTGTCTGTGTGTTGCCTTATCCCTGTGTGCGTGTCATCTTTGCCGTGGTGTTGTGAGTCGGGTCCTGTTGTCCTTTCACGTTATGCTAAGTGTGCGTCTGAGTAACAAAGCATTTATTGTGTGGAAAGTTATAGTTATACAGATGTTTGTTTTATTGATCAGGAAAAGGGTCTGAAGATTAAAGGTCATACGATCTTATGTCATGAAACAAATCAGAGTATTTTGTGTCACAGAAATGTCATTAAGTGTGCAATAAAAAGTCATAGCTACATTAGTTTGTCATGAAATGTTCAACGTGTCAATGGATTTTATGTAAAGCATAATCAACAGCAACAGTGTACATATTATATAATATAATAGCATTTAAATAGCATTCAAATTTGTATTTTTCCAAATAATCTGTCAATTAATGGAAAAATTGAAGGATATTTAGGATCGTACCCAAATCTCTAAATAATTCTCACTTAAAAAAAGACATTAATTCTCTTTTCACATGACACACATTATACTGCAAAGTAAACATCAGAAACAGAAAAATCACAAATAAAGAGCCGACTCAGATCAAGTTTTTCCAATATTACACTGTAATGTGGTAATGATAATTCCATTTATATGTACACAACAATTCATGATAACGGTTTTAATCTGAAGAATCAGATCACAGCGACAACAAAAGCTTCCACTTTTTTGCCAAAATGTAATAATCTTATTAAGAGTTGCGTTCAGGGACATAAAGATGCCGCTGAAGGCAACGCTCTTAATAAGATATATAACACTTGAAATATAAAACAGCTGCTGATCACATTACTTTTTGATCCATGATGGATCTTTCTTAATTGTCTCGCTTCCTGGACCCAGGACGGCAACGCCACACGTCCTCTGCCCGGCGCCGAGGTACCTGCAAGAAGCAACGCGTCAGCTTACACATTCTATTCCCTTTCCTCTCAGAAGCATTTTAACCCATGAATAAAACCCGCTACCGTTCGGCCACTTCCACGAGGCTCCTGTGAGAGGCGGCGAAGAGTCGCTCTCTGTGGTCCTGCAGCATCTCGTCCGTGACGCCGGTGAGGAAGCCGTCGAGTCCTGTGACACAAAGACGCTCAGCTAAATGTGCAACCAAGTTACATTTCTTTAACCTTATTTGTAATCACTTAAAACCCCAGAGCACAGTTTGAAAGCTTGATAACGGAGACGAAACGACTTAAAATCACATTTAAAAAAAAAAAAAAACGAACTTGGAGTTCAGTTTCTATGTTTTAAAGCCACGCTTTGGAATGATGTGACATGAAGGCAGTGGGTGTCTCACCTTTGTTGGCGGGGGACACGGGTGAGTCGACCGAGGAGAAGACGGACATTTTGGCTTCATCGATGTCCTGCTGGCTGAACTGTCCCGACTTGGCCCAGTCCACACCTCTACGGAACACGGACAAGGTCTGCACCGGGGTCGGGTCCCTGAGAGACGGCGGAGACATCGATGTCCACTTCTAATCGTCACATTGAAATCAGAGATGGCATTAATAAATAAAGTCATAGTTCACCTGTACGAGTAGAAGGAGAAGAGGCCGCCACTCATCCTGGCCCCGCCCCCGTAGGCTCCTCCCTTCTCCCGGATCTCTCCGTGGAGAAATTTCGACGTCATCATCCTCCCCAAAATCCGCAGACTGCCGAGGAGAGAAGACAGAGCATCAGACCGAGGGCGAGCCCGGAGCCATCAGCGCTACACCTGACGGAGTGGGCGGAGTCGGTACCTGGCGTTGTCCTCGTGGGAGAACGGCACCGTGCGGATGGCCTCGCTCACAAAGTTCACCGGGAAGGGAAGCTGGAAGATCGTCTTCATCTGACACGGCTTGAAGTTCTCATCCTGGAAGCAAACTTTAGTTTACTGACATTTCTCCCGTTTGATGAACTGGAGGAAACTTAAAGACGAAGCTCGGCAGGAATCAACTTACCAAAATGAGTTTCCTACTCATGGCGGTGTTCTCCGTGCGAATCGGCCTCTGCAGGGAAGCAGTGAAAAACAAGTCAATACGACGCGTATTCTGCTTTGATTGTTGGTCCAGTTTGATAACTCACCTCTATGATATTAGTCCTGACAGGTCTACGAACTTTGCTGTTAACAGCGACTTCCTTCATAAAACTCTCCAGCTGCGCTGATGAGTCCGACATGTTCTGTGGAGTCGTGTTGATCGCACACCTGAGAGCAAGAGAGATTTAGCGCAAAGATGGGAGACGTATTCCAAGAAGATTATATATATATATATATATAAAACCCAGAAACCATTTTGTTGATCTTCATCAACAAGAGATGCTCTCAGCAGGTGCACTTTAACATGAACCCACCTCATGTTTGCAGGGTTGAGAAGGTGCTTCTTGATTCTCGGTAACATTCGGATGACTCTGCTGAGGTCGGACGTCTCAGCGATCGACTTCATAAACTTCACCTGAGGTTGAAATAAGAAGAACACAAAACAGCTGATACACAAACCAACAATAATGAATAAATAATTTTCTCGTACATGAAAAGTCTTATGTGTCAGGCAGAATCAGTAAAGACTCATTTTAATGATCAGATGGACAGATGAAAGGCTCATAGATTCATATCATATTTACTGCTCAGCACCTGTTCCATCCCATCAAAAGCCTCGTTGAGTTCTGCTGCTGGAGTCAGGTGTCTCCCTGCCCGGGTCATGGCATACATGTGACCAGAGTAGGAGATGCCATTGGCCAACTCCTGCGCCGACATCTTCACCAGCGCTCTCATCCGCTCCTCGTCCTTAAAGTGGGGGCTAGAGGAAGAGGATGAACCACGTCAGTCTCGTGACGCGTCACCTCGAGCCGCGTCGCCGTCACGAGTTGCAGGACGCACCTGTTGAATATGTCGCTCCACAGGCGGAACATGTGAGGGAGGTTCCTCTCCAGGCAGGAGGAGGACAGGAGGACACCCTGAGGGACAGGCGTCACACAAAACTCACTTCCTGCATTTTCTAAGAGGCAAAGGGCATTTCCCAGCATGCACTAGGCCCAAATCAGCTAACGAAGGACCGACCTGCTCGTACATGTCCAGGTGGGTGGAGTCGGTGATGACCCGGGTGGAGACGGACATGCCCCCTGTCCTCCGCTCCATCTGCTGGGCCTGTTGCTTGTAGTCCTGCGTGGCACTGCCCATCCTGACACACACACACACACACATATCTGTAAAAGGCGCTTTTCATGCTGGGAAGCGCTTACAACAGAAATACACACTGTGGATCCAAATATTGAATAGCAACTGGTAGTATTATGGGATGTGATTTAATTGTGGACTAATATACGATCCCTCGGTTAATTATTATCTGGTTGATCACGTCCGTTCCTGCACAATGGACTCACTTGGTGATGACGTTGCAGAAGAGCGGGACATGAAGCTTGACGTCCTCCGGCAGCGTGTTGAGGCTGCAGAAAGCTCTGAAGTAAACCAAGCCGTTGGTCGGCTGCTCACAGTACTGAACCGGGACCCCCCCTGTGAGGACGACAAAAACACCGCGCTACAGACACTGTGCAGAGGAGACGTGGACGGTGAGGCGGTGGACGCCGCGCGGGGGACCTGCGGTGCCGATCTGAACCGGCGTGACGGGTACGGTGGGCGCGATGTCGGACACTTTGAGGGAAGGCAGCGAGGAGGCATCGGGGGGGCAACTCTGAGCAGCCAGCAGCTGCAGACCTTCCAGCAAGAAAAGCATCAGAGTCACAGGTTACCAAACATGTAGCAGGATACATCTACAAGGACAAATGAGAACAACTCAACTCTTATTTAGTGGACTGAAGCTACTGACACTCCATGTGTGAGTTCACATGCGCTCTTTTTCATAGTTATTCTTTTACTTTTTCAACATCAAGTATTATTATTATTATTATTATTATTATTATTGGTACCTTTCTCATAGATCTCCTTTCTGTCACCTTCAGACAGAGCGTTGATCTTCTTCTGGAGCTTCTCCTCCTCGGCCTTGGCCTGCTTCTCCAAGTAGGCCTCGTCTGGGCTCATCGACAGGGTCAGTCTGTGCGGGTTCTCCTGCAGGGAGGGGGAGGCGGCGATGAGCATCGATTAGCATTAAATGCTAACATTAAACTAGAGGTTCTGAGCTACATCACACAACATTTACAGTCGGTACATGTTCATTATAGAAAGGAGGATATAGTTCTCCTTTACATTAATCAGATTATCAATTGTTCTTCAGTAATAAATGTAAATCTTTCCAGACTCACTCACCTTGAAGTAGTGCTTCACTTTGTCCTGCAGGAAGCGAGGGTTTTCCTTCAGGGCTTCTCTGAACTTGTCCACGCTGTCATTGATCTGCAGCAGCTCCACCGGGTCGCCGCCGTGGTTCCATGATGACGCAATGAACTAAAAGAACAATGAATAAAGAAACAGCTGCTTAATTGCGTCATTTTTTTTACTTAATTGGGAGGTGTGGGGGTATGAACACACAAAGGGAGCGAAGGCCCCACGTAAGCAGCAGCGGACCCACCGAGGCCAGAGACAGGCCGAAGTTCGCAGACTGGTGTTTCAACCCGATCTCGATCTCATGAAGCAGCGCGTCGATTCTTTCCTCCGGGAAGCCGGTTCTGTGAGCGAGATGCAGAAACAGTTAAAAACATCTGGATGGAAATGATTGTGCAAGAGTTTGATCAAAGATTACAACAAAAGAAAAAAACAATAGAAAACAAACATAAACAATGTGTTGTTACATTATGGAGGGCTGTGAGAGTGAAAAGTAAAATTGAACAACAGGTAAAAGGTTTCACTAAAATAGAAAAAGCAATCAAGATGAAATGCAAGAGTAAAGATATAAAGTGTAAAAGTAGTAATCATTCGTCGTCTAACTGGCACATTTCAGGACAGACGCTGACCCTTTTCTACTTGAACAAGCGTCAACATCTGAGAGAAATGTTTTATGTTGAATAAAACCACGTTAGATTAGTCAAACAAATGATCAACTTTGAGATACTGCTGCATATTGAATAAAACCCCCCAGGAGACAAAATGCTCGTGGTACTTACTCGACGATGTCGTCGATGGTTTGGCTGATGATTTGTTTCACCTTCTCCGCGTCCTCCTCAGCCATCCCCTGCAGGCCGACCCGGAACGACGCCTCTCTGGTGCTGCCGTCGTACCTGCACCAGGTTTCATTTCAACACGCTGCGCATGAATGTGAGGGGCGCTTAAGACCTAAAGTCAAACACTTATAGGCAGAATGTCCAAATTGGTGCAGAAAACCAATGTCGACTGAAGCCCCTAGCCCTCAGAAGCTCACTTGCAATGCATGCTGGTCCATGTAGGCTCTACGAGCATGATGAGACGTACTGAAGAACGAATGGCTTCAAACGCGTACATTTACCAATAACACTGATTGGACAGCTACACTAAAAAGGAAAATGGTTTCCTTTGAGGGGATTGTTTTAATCCCACAAAATAACTTAGCAGGTTTTAACGCCTTGCCCATGCGTACACACCCTACGACAGAAGAATAGTCGCTTCCTATCTCGGGTTCAATGAGCGCCTTGTAGAAGGGAGAGTTTGGTCCAGAGATCATCAGAGAGGACAGCAAGTTGAGAGTGAATCCTTCAAACGTGTCAGTGATGCTGCAGAAAGAAACCAGAAGAAGAAATAAGATGTTACACTTTTTATAAAGAACTATAAAGAAAATCTGTCAGGACGCAGCATCTTATGTGTCTTCAGGATCTCATACAGAGCGACCAATGAGGTGACCTTACTCTCCCAGCAGGTAGCTCACACACAGTCTGTGTTGCCGGGCCGGATCTGGAGCCAAAGCATCAGGGCTGCATGTCACATGGGCTTCTCTCTGGAAAGCCAATGACACTCAGTGAGATCACACCGACTAGTCAAAGCGTTCCCTGTTTCTAAGAATATAACAATGGAAATCTTGCACGGGATGATTGAATACACGATGGTCTGAAGTAGCTTCGTAGGGCTGAACTTACAGGGCTGCTCCAAAGAGACTGAGGCGGGACTTCGGTGTTTGCGGTGACGCGATCAAACTTGGACAGAGCTTCCTCTTGGATCTGCTCCAGGTGCTGCTCCAACGGCAAATCTCCGTAGGTGAAGAACCTGAGGAACGCATGGAGGTCTTAGCACTGAGCTCAATTCTTTTTAGGGAAATTTATTTTAAAGAACCCTTCTTGTTTCACCCGACGTCCTGCTGTGTGTAGTGTTCGCCCTGAGGCCGTGTGAGTGTGCGTCGCTCTACCTTGCGTTGCTGGGGTGGTAATGCGTGGCGTGGAACTCCTTCAGCTGCTCCCAGGTGAGGTCGGGGATGGCTAGAGGCTCCCCCCCCGCCACCACGGAGTAGGTGTGTTCCGGATACAGCTTGTTCTGGAGGTGCTGTGCGTACACACGCTCGTTGTCTGACTGCAAGAACACACAAGACGATCATAAACACACAAGACCCTCACAAAGCATTGTTGGCAAAAGCATGACCTAGTCAACAACTAATAATGGAAACACCTTTGGATTATTCTGATTTTTTTGGGGGTGAATCAAACTTCTTGCAAAGTTGCACAAAACTTTAAGCTGAGGGGGCCAGACTTTTGTGTCCGGGTTTCTTTTTCAAAGCGCATACTTGAAACTGAGCCAAACTGCGTAAATACACTGGGTCAGCGTCATGGTTCATAAACCTCAGAGTGCTGTGTGCCGCTGTCCAGAGTCCTGAAACGGAGCTTTCAGAAATTCAAAAATTCTGTTGAAGCTACGTTGTAAAGCGCTGTGATTAATACCAGTATTCCTTGATTTTGAGACTGTGGCCTTAAGCTGAAGTTATTTTGCGTAAAGCATGGTTGAATAATGATATTTTCTGAATAGATTTTTCCCTCGGTTGTCCGGTCTGGAGGTCTGACCAGATGAGTCGAGTGGCCCACGTCTTAATCTATCCTGAATCCTTGTTTTCCTTTTTATTTTTTAAAATAACAGAATATTTTGAGAAATAGTTTTAATTTTACAGCAATAAATTGGTATAATAAGAAGGACCAACATATTTGTGAATTAAAGACTTTAAAATATTAGGGATTTTACAAAGTGAAAGCACCTTAACTGCCTGCATGAATAAATTAAATAAAATAACCTGCACAGAACAGAGAATTATTATTCATGTGACCAGAAAAGAATGCCTTACAAAAGCTCCCTTCATTTCGTTGAACACCACTCCTTTAAACATCAGAGGGGAGTTGAGATCTGTCGGGTCTTCGTGCTCCAGCCTCCAGCCCTCTTGACTGAGGAATCAAGACATTCAGTTAGTTTCAGACCTGCTGAGTGAGCAGAGCTCATTGCTCGTCTGCTTCAGCGTACTCGGAGGAAACACGGTGACAAACTGACGGTCAAGATAAGAAACCACAACATTCTACTTTGGCTACGTGTTTTACGAAGATATAAATGAGCCGTTTAAGCATCGTAACATGTAATAACTCACCAGAAGTCCTGCTCTCGTAAAATAGGGAAGAAAACTGCGTCCAGGTAGACCGACAGAAGATTCTGGAAGTCCTTCCCATTTTGCGTTGAGAACGGATACATGGTGTAGTCATTGGCTGTTCACCAGCAAACAAACAAAAAACAACCAGTTACCAAACCTCTTCATGTCAGGGCCCCCCTTGAGGATGAAGGGACATTGTCCCCCACAAGACTCCCTGATTGATTTTAAATTTACAACATTCCTGTGGGTGCAAGCACACCCCCCCCCATTTAGGGTCCCATTGATGTATACCTGTGAAAGCATTCATGAAGGTGGACAGCGACCTGTCCAGCATCTTGAAGAAAGGGTCCCTGCAGGGGTACCTCTTGGATCCACAAAGCACCGTGTGCTCCAGGATGTGCGGGACGCCCGTGTTGTCCAGGGGGGTCGTTCTGAACTGGACACTGAAACACAAAAGAGAGGCATTGGTTGTTTTTTTTGGTCCAATTCACTAAGCTGGAGAGAAAAAGAGACGCTGCCGTTTCAGCGCGACTGCACAGAGAACACGAGGCGACCTGAAGAGGTTGTTGGAGTCGTCTCTGGCTGCGTGGAGGTACTGAGCTCCGGTTTGATCGTGGGTCAGCTTCACTGCTGTGATGAACAGGTCAGGGACCCCGACAACCTTAGAGGAACAGACACCGAATCAAACCTCGAAACAATGACATCTTGACCCTCAAAAAAATGATTTATGGAGGCTTGAATGACGTTTCTTTACCTCTTTGACAGTAAAGCCGTGGATGTTCTGCCCCGGTTGGTACTGACAAGCCTTCTCGTTTACTAAAGAGCTCTGCAGCCTCCAGGCTTGCTGCGGTCTATTGAAGCTGGAAGAAGAAAACAGACAAATGCTTAATATTGTTCAAGGTGATGCAGTTTAATCAGAGGTTCCCTCTGTTATACAAATATATCTGTTCAAAACGCAAATGCAGCCACGACTGATCAAAAAAAAGGTGAAAAGTAGTGACTGAAATTAAAACCATTGGCTGGTTTTTCATCCTTCAATTCAGAAAATGACTTAACATGCCGGTTAGTTAACGTTAACTAACTCAAGCTAGCTAACTTAACAGTAACTCATACTTCTCCACCCGTTGAGTGCAGTTAAGCTAACCGTTAACCTGAGGTTGGTTTACCGTAAACAACCCGTTAACCACCAAGTGACGTCAGCAAACTAACGTTAGTTAACGTGAAGGTTAACGTAACGGTAATGTTGCATCAGTCAAAAACCCAACGTCACATTTCCACAATGGTCAAAGTTTCGTTATGAATTCAGTCACACCGGCAAAGACACTTTGTGAAAAAAGTTGTATTTCATTGACTGGCAACTCGTTCGCTAACGTTAACTCACCGTAGACGCAGAAGCTTCTGGAGCACCACCTTCGTTTGTCGAAACATGGCTTCGCAACTGATGTTTTTTTGGTATCTGTACTCACAGGCTAGAGGGGCTACCCGGTTTTAAACAAATGGTGTTAATAATTCCACCTCATTCTGGTTGTGCATCCCGGGCCGGTGTCCTCTCGTGCCGTGTGTGGGACAGTTTGACACATTCGGCTGCACGCATTAAAAAAAATGGCCGCCGCGCCTGCGCAGATCACAGATCTGCCAAACATTTCCGCCTCTACTTAGACCTATCCGTTCGCATTGGAGCTCTAGAAATATTCGCTGAGGCAGCTTTCGACGGACGGAACTCCCCCCCACAAACAAGCCTGTTTTTGATTGGTCGAGGGGGAATGAAGAGCAGATATGATTGGTCCTACGTAACATCACAAATATTATTAAACCACGGGGCGCGTTTGAAGGGCAAACAATATTAAAACCCATGTATAACACATATCTAACACGGGTCTATATCACACTTTCTTTTGAATTTACAGTGTCACGTTAGTTCATTCATCACAATATTTAATCGTCACTTTTTTTTCTATAGAGGTGTAACTCAGTCTGCTTTCCAGCAGATGTCTCTGTTAGATCGTGTTAAGCCAAGCGTTTCACAAAATATTCAATAGTTTTTCTTTCAAAATGTTCAAGGGTCCCAAAAAGTGGGGGAGGGGGGTATTATGAAAGTGCCACTGGACAACCTTGATTGAGAAAACTGTCCCTCACATGTACTTCAGTTTGCATGCAATCATAGTTACACGCATTAATACTGCCTGCTTCAGTGTTGCTAAGCAACTTTTATAATTGCTGTGACATTGCAAATTGCTTTTACTGTGCGATAGAGAGTGAAAAGAATCTCACTTTCAAAGGTGTTTCTGTGTCTTTGTTCTACTGAGAGATTTCTACAGCTGACGGTGGTTAGTACATTTTATACTCATGATTGGTCATTGCTAGTTTCAACATTATGTTTCAATTTCAAAATGAATTCATAACCTGCAAATGACTCACTGGTGGGTACAAATCCCTTTCCATCACCGACATGTGGCGAGTTTTAAATCCAAGTGTGTGCTTAAGACTTTTTTCATCCTGTCCTGTTGTCTGTTACTTTATTGTCATTTCCTCTACATACATGAAGATTATTCATTTATCTGAGTAGTTTCAATGCTACAAAACACATGCATGACAATTTCACAATTTCGTATTTTCCTATTTAGCACATAGACCTTAATCATGTCTGTATTAATCTTAGAAGGTCAAGTGGACAAAAATAAACGTCTGGGCCGTCATCACGTCCTTCATTCCAGGTGATAGAATACTACCTGTGCTCCAGGGTTACTTTGCGCTGAAGGGATTAAATCCAAATCAACTTCGGAATATGCAACTTGTAAGTAAAGCCCTGTGAAGTAATCTTGGTCTTGTAGCTGGATCTCGGCACGGGGACGCCCTTCGAAACAGACTCTTTGGATTACACGGTAAAGCAGCTCCCACCTTTAGGCCTTCGTTTGTCACGCTTTCTCTGTTACAAGTAATCAAAGTCCCACGAACCAATTGCTATGCAGCAAACGTATGTTTTCTGGGGGACCTGGGGGCCGACTCATCCCAGTTTGTAATTCAGCCTCATGCACGGTGTATTCAAACCCAAGACCCTATTATTGTGTGGCTGCACTGACAGATGAAATGGATCATGTTAGAGGTCCCTTGCATCATTTCACTCTTGTTGCCTCACATGTCAGACTGCCGTTTGGTTGTTGCTGGAAACCTTCGGGTTTCAACAAGGATTTTAAAAATAATTTGCAATGTTTGAGCAAAGCTCAGCTGCATGATGAGTAATAATTATATGATTTACAGTGTGAATTTCAAGCGATTTAAGGCCTTCCGCTGGTAGGCTGTTTAAGTGCGCCGCTAAAAACTATACCACAGAAAGGTTACAACAGCAAGAGACGGTCACCAGAAACACCCAGTGGAGAACTGCCCCTCACAGAGACCCCCGAGCAACGTGTCCTCACACCGCAAACGTCTCCCTGCTTGTATCTACAGCAGCAATACTGCTTTTTCAAATGGAATATCTTTTGGAAAACACCACGGCCGTCCCTTGTGTTTCCAGCCACAGCACGTGGGGTGTTTTGCAGCCGCATGAATAGAAAGGCTTGGTGAGGAGGCATTAAGGGCTTCTCAAAGAGCTGCAGCGTCCTCCAACATGGAAGCCGGCTCCACTTCTTTATAAGGGAAGACCTTGATCACACAAAGCGTGGATGAGACAGAGACGCCGCGGAAATGTTCATCTCTAACACCTGGTCGCGTGGAAAGTTAAAGCAAATGTGACATCAGTGGAATTTAGCTGGTTCCTGAGGACTCAAATTGAGACCGAACCGCTCTCAGTGGTTTCCTAACGTTGCGGCTCGTAAACAGTCGCTCTTCTTCTTTTATCAGTCGTAATTGTACGTAGAGCCATTTTCAGGTGGAACCACATGTAGTTTAACGTGGTTAACCCCCCCGGCGGGCAGGATTCGGCCCGTGGGTCGTATGTTTGACATCCCTGGATTAACCCCCCACACCTCCTTCCCAGGAGGAAGAAAACATTTCTCATGCTTTTTTGGTTCTAAAAACGTTAAAATATTCCACCACTTGTTGTTTAGTGTTGTGTGAACAAATTAGCTGACAACTTTGAAAAAGTTATTCCTCCTGTCATGGTGACTTTAAGGTGAACTGAAGGATTACACATGCCTCAATAAGGTTGAACCAACGCTACGCCCTCCTGCTCCTAAAGCCCCACTTTGAATAAAGTAATAAACACATGGTGGTTAAGCTAAGAACAAGGCCTGTGTTACATGGCGCGCAAAATAACAAATCCTCCAATGCAAATGTGATGTCCGCCGCGTGCGGCTGCTACTCTCCACGCATGTGTTGGCAGGGAAGTGAGGGACTTTCTCCTCAAAGCAATCCACAGGATTCCATGAAAATACTGCACTTGAAAGGGTCAGAGAACGGACCCCCACCATTGCCATTCAGCCCCGGGTGTGAGGTTGGATCCCCTTAAATCAATCCAAAAGATTTCACTGCGGTTTTATCGCATAAATCAGCGTTCTGTGAAGAATTTGACAAAATGCATTGGCGTGCAAATTAATCTAAATAAAAATGAGCAGCCCCATGAGCAGCTTTGTGTGTACAAGCAATGCTTTAACACGCTAACGTGCTCATGCTGAGCAGGTGTAACGTGCAGCATGTTCTCCGTGTCAGCATGCTAACGTCTACCAGGTCGCACTTAAAGGAATTTCATTACTGCTGCAGATATTTGGTCATAAACAAAAGGTGTTGGACAAATATGACCAGCCGATAAACACGTCTTTAGAAACGCAGTAAACTCTTCAAGAAGGTGAACGTACCAATAACAGCACGCTGATATAAATCTCAGTGCTCTATTATTGCAATAATTCAACAGACACTTCTATCTTTGTTTGACATCGTGAGTTCTGCGATAAACGCATTGGATGCACGTGACGCGGTGCGCGGTGGCCTTTGGGTTTACACCGGTCAGCGATATCGGTGCCACCCCCCCCCCCCCCGGGCCTCCATTCTCCACGGCTTTATCACTCCCCTCGCCAAAGGGAAATAAAAGGTGGCTAATTTATAAAATAAATTATCACGGGTTGTTTACTTTAAGCACGGTCCATCCCCGGGAAGGCAGAGCCGTGCATCCTCCCTCAAGACAGCCAGATAAAGGTGAGCGGGGGGAAAGTGGGGAGGAGGGGGTGGTCATGGGAATTCTTGGGTTTCCGTCCAGGAAATTTGCTGTAATTCTGAGATGTTAAACAATATTTTTGTGTCCCTGAAATGGGACTGCTTTGGGAAATGTAGAAAAAACATGGTTTAAAGTATAAATCTGTTTGGTGAACAGCGATCCAAAAATAAAGATAAAACCCAACCACATTAAAAGCCATTGGAACAGCGACTCACTACAGCCGCTCATGCAGGCGCTTGAACGGTATGCAACACAAACGGACTCATGCAGAGTTTCTAATTGATACCATGTGAAGTATCGAGTGTCCCACAGGGCTCTTTGCTCGGCCACTTGCAAATCTGACACGTCTTCGCTCTCTTTGCACCGAAATGCCAATGGATGGATAGCTGGCCCTGGGTCTGCCCCCACCCCCCCGCTCACCCCTCTCCCCCTCCCATCCACCCTCCTGCTCACCTCTGGGGCCAATTAGGGCGCTGGAGCTGAAAAAAATTAAACTCGGTGGCAAAACAGCGTTTACTTCAAAATCGTGCACTTAATTTGAAGATCTCTCTCTGATCTGAGGTGGAATTAGCCGGCTGATATTCTCTTTGATCTCGCAGGTTTTTGCATTTGTTGCCAACTTATTGAGGGGAGACTCCAGAGGAACAGTCGATGCCAAATGCGTTGCGTGCACAGTGCAGACGGTCTGACACATGAAATGCAGGCTTCTCCCCTCACATACTTACTTAAACCTACAGCATGTGGCCAAAAAGACAGAGATCCAGATCCAGCACTCAAAGAACGACTCAAAGCTTCTCTCCAGAAGCATTTATCCACAATGTTATACAAAGTTTGGATTGTGGAAAACGATCTTATTCTATCTTATGTATCTGTCTATCTTATCTTCTTCTATTCACAACAAATACAACGTATTCCAATGAACAAAAAACATACTCAAAGGAAACTTGAGTTGAAGCAAAATCCGTTTTATATCGGTTTAATTATTTTTCACAGTATGTTGCACACACACTTAGTGTGTAGTTTCTTCACCTGCAGCTAAAAAACAACATGTTCATTCAACCTCGTTCATGATTATGTTTGTAACGTTTAAAAAGAATGTGTACGATATCAAAGAATTATTATTACGGGCTGAAGTTTTAAATAATAGAAGCAAAGGAAACTTTTGTTATACTTTCACATCAAAATACAATCATCAAATCTTCCTGTAAAAGGCGTAAAAACGATTTCAATCAATACTATCATAAAGTACTAATATCAATTTGTTGTTTTGGGAGATTGAATTGACTTAAAATGTATGTAGGAAGCCGCATTTCACAGACCTCTGTACAGCCATAAGAGTTTTTTTTTCATTGTCAGTCGATCTACAGAAAAATGAGCCTATTGTCTATTGTTTAGACGCTTTTCCCGTGTTTAGAAAAAACTGCTTAATGCACGCAACTTCTGGC